AAGGAGGAGTGGCTAACCTCTCCACTTTTGAGACTTCTAAACCATATTTTTTAGCCCTTTTAAACTCTAAAAATTAGTTTGAAGCCAAGAAAAATTGTGGTGAAATCAAGGGGATGAGTTATGAAGTAAGGTGCAAGAAAGGGTGTTAACCCTCTCTACCTTTGGTAGCTATTCAAACCCAAGTTTCAACACTTGAAATAGATTCAACACAATAAATAGATAGAGAGACAGGAATGAAAGCAAAGAGAAAGGTAGTAAGCTTTATACGTCTTGAAGAGGACAAGCTCTTGTTATGAACCAAACTCAATCCAAAGGCACTCTCAAGTTTGCAACAAAGACTCTACGGTTAAGGTTTAACGATGTTTATGGTGTATAGATATGATTCAAGGGTGATAGGTTTGCTCAAAGATGACTTGCTAAGGAAGAAGGAGCTCTCAAGTGTGTGTTTAAGCACTTTGGCAAATTTTCCACCCTCAAAACAGAGACAAGAGCTCGTATTTATAGAATTTGAGGAAAAAAGGTCAAAAATATCTTCAAAAATAGATAACTGCTGGGCTCCCGCCCAGAACAGTGTTCATCGCCTAAAAGGCACGGCTGTCCCCAAATGGCCATGGTCGGCTCCTAATGAGGCATGGCCGAGCCCCAATACACTCCCCTGTCCCTCTATTTCAGGCTCAGTACAAGCTGGCACAATGTTCAAAAATGAACCTCTGAGTAAGAATAGTGTAAATAGAAAAGTTTTGGGATTGTTTCCGGGCTTGAACTTAGATTCATTCGTTGAGAATTCAAACCACACACAATGCAACTTTCATCATCGAGTGCTCAGGACAAAGTGCTCAAGTCTTGCGGACGGTCAAAAATGGGGTGTCTACACCTTCGACTAATTCAGCACCTCTGGAGCTAGAGGGACCAGCCCAATTATCCCTCTCATTCGCTAAGCTTGTTGCCACAACTGTATCTACCGTCATTTGAAACTCGAAGGACTGCTTAAACTGTTCAATAATAGCTGCGTAGAAGTCAGGGTAGACAACAAGCTCAGAAGCTAGGGACGTTGTAAGCTCTGCATTCTTAGCCCTCTCAGCCTCCAAGGTAGGCCTCTCAGCAGCCAGACTCTTTATCAAATCAACAATTTGCATGTCTTTTTCTTCCTTCTCCTTCAGAGATAGATCATGCAATTCCTCATTGTTGCTCAGCGCTTCTTCCAGTTGCTCTCTGACCATAGTACAAGCCTGCTAGACTTCAACCATTTTCTTTTGTTCAATAACTGCTTCAAACGCTATGGCCATTATTCTATGGCAAGCAACTGCTAAGTCAGCTGCAGACTGACCTAGCTGAGTCTTGACATCGGCTAAGTTTTTCTTAGTCAACTCGAACGGGGCAAGTTCTCCTCTCACCTTCTCCAACTTTGCAGTCGTCGTAGCTTGCTCAATTATTGTGTGATCGGCTACATGACTCTACACAATGGCCAGGACTTTAGTTTTTTTTTTCTTTTTTTTTTTAGCATGCAGGATTCCTTTGGCGCAAGTATTTTGTGCCAGTTTACGCCAGCGTTTGATTTCCGACTTTGCCATCTGCAGTTAGGGCTATGCAAAATACCGCCTAATCCGCTAAAATCACACCGATCCGCATCAATCCGCACCGTTCTAACCGCTAACCGCGGTTTAAAATTTAAAATTTATAATCCGCCAACTAAACCGCTCCACTCCGCTATAGTTAATACATATATATTTTTTAACTTCCAATGAAATTTCAATATAAAAATGAGCGTGAGAGAGATTTAAAATATAAATTTATTACAAATTAGTAGTTATATATATGAAACATATTATGTAAAATTACTTTGTGTTATATATCTAAAAAATATTATACAAATTAGTGTTACATTTTATACAAATGTATAATAATTGGTTACAATATTCTTCAATCTGCCAATCTGCCAAAAATCGCCTAAACTGCAATTTGCCAATCCGCCAACCCGCCATTCGGTTTGTAATTTTACCCTTAAATCGCCCGAACCGCACCCCGCACACCCCTATCTGCAGCTTAGACCTAGCTTGCTTTGCTTGGGCTCTGGTCTACACCAGATCCAGCCTTGCCATCAATCTTTTTCCCAAACAGAGCGGCTGCTAGAGTCAGTGACTCCATGTGCACAGAGCCGAATGCTCTCATCAGCTCCACCTCCCCAAATCGAGATACATCCCTAACAGTTGCATCGTCGATCGCCCCCAGTATTCTGTCATAGGCGGCCTTCACATTGCCCAGTACGTTAGAAGGCTTGCCAGGGTTAGTTAGGGGCACACCGATCACTGCGCTCAAGTGCCGAGCAGTGGTGCTCACCATCTCAACTAGGCGCTCAGTCTCTGCCCTTTGCTCAACCCTGGTTACTTCTTCCTTTGTAGTATTTGCTTTTTCTGACTGCGGGGGCTTAGACACTTGGTCAGACTCTTTTTCTTCAAATTGGCCTAAATCAACTAGTTTAGCAACAGAGGGGGTCAGCCTCAGCCCTCTCCGCTTCTGCTTCAAGCCTCAAAGCCTCAACCTCCTACCTCTGCTCTGCCACCCTAACTGGTTCAAAAACCACCTTTCTTGCCCTTTTGGATTTTTTCCCTTCTTCCCTATCTTTTGGAGTAGCCCTCTTCTTCTTTAGCCTCTCCAAGTTAGCTTTATTTTTCTGCTTAATGGGATCAACTAAGGGCTCAAAAGGGATTAAATTCTTCAAGTCCTACATGGCCAAGGCCTTTAGACGGAGGCAAGCAACCCTATGGGCATATCATTTTGGGGCAGGGCTCAATTGCTTCTCTTTCAATATGTCAGCCGTGACAAATGCTCTGATCTTCAACTTCTTGAGCCTTCCTCCTTGCCTCTACTTCTTCAAGAGTAGGGTCTTCATCGGCAGGCTCATAATCCAACCCAAGGGCAAATAAGGCAGAGGGTCTTACCAGGTCAACCCAGTTCAGCCCTTTCTTGTCCTTGAACTTCTTGACCATCTGCACTCTCTTCTCTTTTGCAGCGGTCAAGGTTGGCTTTATCGACTTGGTAGGAATCTTCCAGGTTGTTCGAACTCCCCTACCACCATTTACAAATAAGTAAAACCACTTGGTTCTCTGTCTCTTTACTGAGGAGGATAGCCCAGTTACCAGTTTCCTGCCAAAAAAATGTTTGCGGGGCTACCCAAGTCTTTTGCTGGCCAGATGCCTTGTAATAGGAGAATAACTTATTTATTGTCATGTTCTCCCCTTCGGTTGCCCGCGGCCACAAAATTTTCCTCGCGAACAAGATTTTTCAAGCGTTTGACACTAACTGGCCTAGTGCCGCCTCTAGCCAGTTCAAGACATCGATGGCGAGTTGGAGGAGTAGCAACCTCAGACCCCATGTAATGCCTTCTCATATAAGGAGAACTCCATTGGCCTAGCGTCAGAAGTTCTTTCCTCCGTTGTAGGGAACCTCAACTCTATATCTTCAAGAATTTGGTACTTTGTTCGAATCTCTTTCAGATCCAAGGCCGTCAACATTGATTTATTTGCTTCATATACCAGTGGTCAGGGGCTACCTAGCTGATGGGTTGAGCGGCCAAAATCATTATCGAATTGATTAGGCGAGATGACCTCTTTGCTATCCCTTCTACCATTTTCTTCACCTTGTACTTTTCTGCTAGGGCTACTCTGTTGTTATCACCCAGTGGGTCGATAACTAGGGAATGAGGATTCTCTCGTTCCATCTGTCTCACATTTCAGCATATGGTTTCGGATGCAAGAGCTAAGAAGTCGAAAATATGGTAGAGATGGGAGTCATGGGAGACAAAGAAAGAGAAGTTTGGAATAATTTGGTTCTTTGAGATTAAGTGTGTAAATCGCACAAGTAAGAAGGCCCAGGGTTTGCCAGTATTCCATGGATCTCAGTCAAAGTTTGCCAGTTTGAAAAATTGCTAAGCGTGGAAGGAAAGAGGAAAGTCAGTTGGTTAATGGCCAAACTCTTCAAATTCACGCGCTCAGAAAACCCTCAACATTCAAAACAGTTCAACTCTACATCAGTGGGCTAGATTCTTCCACATGGACGGGCTAGATTAGTCCTCTTAACCACTGTTCATCTTTTTTTGCCTCACGTCTAATCCATTATTGAATATGGGCCCACGAATCAAGTCATCATGTAGATCACCATTCCTCGAGTCCTGCGCATAACAGAAGCACTCAAGTGCTTAGCGATCAGACTACATTTTAAAGGGCGACCGGCCAGATCCGCCGGTCAACTAGATCCATCGGTCAGCCAGATTCAGATTTATCAATGGTCGGCTAATTTTAGTAGTCAGTCATATTTAGCGGTCAACCATTTTCAGCTATCTACCGTACTTCAATGACCTACCCGTTCAGCCTTCATTCACAGTCGGCCCTCGCGGTCAGTTTCTTCGCTCTCTTGCCATAAAGCAGTTGGTCGATCCCTTCTTCATGACTTAGGGGACTACTATTACTGTTCTCATTCCCTTCGTTGGACTAAAGATGTACTCGAGAATGGGGGACTACTGATGGGTACAGCCTAGGAGGGCCCAACCCGTAATCTGCATGGGCTGCCCAGATAACCATTTGATTAATTATCATCATAAGGCCCAATAGTGGCCTCAATTAGAGAACCCATGGCAGTCAAACCCAACTACCAGCTGGGTACATGTCAAGCAGGGAATTGGCCACATGGAATATAAAAACCTTACACGCCATTGGGCCCCACGTGCCAAGCATTAAATGAGACTGTCAAGCATTAAATGTAATAAGGCCGTCTCCCCTTGAGGCGTGGTGAAACCGCCATGGCCGGTGACAAGTAGGTCATAGACTTTTGACCAATAGGACAACGTAAATGGACAAGGGAATGATTGGTAAGAGATATAGGGAAGCTGGAGGACATTTGGTAAAAAAATCACCCACACACTCTCTCACTTTGCTCTCAATTCTTTCTAAGTCTCTTCTTCCTCTCCATGTACTTAACTAACTTGATCGTCGGAGGGTCCTCAGGAGGGAACCACTCGTACTTTGGAACCTTCCTGTTGGACTTATTGCAGGTGTTGTTGGGAAGACGAAGGTCAGTCGACTCGTGGAGCATTTGGATCCTGTCCAACCCATCTTCTACTGACCAAACTGCATCATCACATGATAAGTTTGTCATGCATAACTTTTAATACAAATTAACATAACACAAATCACAAATGTTGAAAACTTTCCCCATAAAAGTAGTAAATTTTTTTTAATGTGCCTTTTTAAGTAAAAATGATTTAGTAGGTGTTCATATGCTCGACCAATGATAAGTTATAATTTATTCACTATTTTCTTGTAATTAGGATAATATATTCTTGTAATTAGGATCCTGTCCAAGCCATCTTCTTAAGTTTTGCAGTTCTTTCGAATATTTTCAGCTTCAATGGAGTTCAATTTCCTCCCCATCTTCACATTTCTTTCAGTTAAGTGCTTAAATTTCCAAATTCATATTTCTTTCAATTAAGTGCTTAAATTTCCAAATTCCTCAAATCAAAGAAACCATTTTCTCCAACTTTTGTATTTGTTTCTTAAACATTGACGATGGAATCATAGAAGAAAAATAATATATAACTCACGCTTTAGACTCAATGATATATAAAACATTCATTATGTTTGAAAAACGAGTTTAATTTTAGGCCTCAATAACATTACTCATCATGAAACATACGACGGATATATACTTTCTGTCATCTAACCGACCAATTTTTAAAATCATACGTATGTTATGAAATGTTATACGATAAATTTGACCTATCTAGTGAGTGTGCTTTCACCTTATAGCTAAAGTAAAGTTTAGTTAGGATGAAAATGGTAGAAAGTATAGCAATGGTAGAAAGTGAGGAAAATATAAAAAAAAATAAAAATAAAAAAGAAAAGAAAAAAAAAATATATATATTTTTTCCTAAATTTGTTTGGCATTAAAGTGGTGAAAGTTTAAAAAAAATAAATAAATAATTTAATTTTCATGCACAACTCATAATAGTATGATAACTAAACTTCTTGTTTTTTTGCAAAAAAATATAGGAAAATATTAAAAAAAAATTAATTTATTATGAAAGCAGTTACTTATAATTACATTTCTTATTTTCTTTCAAAATTTTCGTCATAATCAAATTCATATAAAAAAAGAGTATTTTCTTTTCCTTTTCTTTCACTTCACTTCACTTCATTTTTTTTTCTCCTTTCACTTCACTTTATATTATTTTCACTCATTTATTTATTTTTCTAATCAAATGGAACCTAAAAAGAACATGTAATTAATTTGTCTAAAACATAAGAGAGTTAAAAAAATTTCTACATCACCCCCATACAATTGTAAAGACACATCACATAAACATATATATTGAACCGACTAGATAATTTATTATTACAAGAAGTTTGCAATGGATTTTTTTTATTGAACCGACTAGATAATTTATTATTACAAGAAGTTTGCAATGGATTTTTTTTATTGAACCGACTAGATAATTTATTATTACAAGAAGTTTGCAATGGATTTTTTTTATTGAACCGACTAGATAATTTATTATTACAAGAAGTTTGCAATGGATTTTTTTTATTGAACCGACTAGATAATTTATTATTACAAGAAGTTTGCAATGGATTTTTTTTATTGAACCGACTAGATAATTTATTATTACAAGAAGTTTGCAATGGATTTTTTTTATTGAACCGACTAGATAATTTATTATTACAAGAAGTTTGCAATGGATTTTTTTTATTGAACCGACTAGATAATTTATTATTACAAGAAGTTTGCAATGGATTTTTTTTATTGAACCGACTAGATAATTTATTATTACAAGAAGTTTGCAATGGATTTTTTTTATTGAACCGACTAGATAATTTATTATTACAAGAAGTTTGCAATGGATTTTTTTTATTGAACCGACTAGATAATTTATTATTACAAGAAGTTTGCAATGGATTTTTTTTATTGAACCGACTAGATAATTTATTATTACAAGAAGTTTGCAATGGATTTTTTTTATTGAACCGACTAGATAATTTATTATTACAAGAAGTTTGCAATGGATTTTTTTTATTGAACCGACTAGATAATTTATTATTACAAGAAGTTTGCAATGGATTTTTTTTATTGAACCGACTAGATAATTTATTATTACAAGAAGTTTGCAATGGATTTTTTTTATTGAACCGACTAGATAATTTATTATTACAAGAAGTTTGCAATGGATTTTTTTTATTGAACCGACTAGATAATTTATTATTACAAGAAGTTTGCAATGGATTTTTTTTATTGAACCGACTAGATAATTTATTATTAGAAGAAGTTTGCGATAGATTTTTTTTTTCCTTCACTATTTTGGTAATAAAAATTTCCTTTTTTTTTTTTTTTTTTTTCAGTTGACACTGGTGGCAGGGCATGCAGCAGTATCTCCCGAAGCTTACTGGAACATGGTTTTGCAAAACACTCCCATGCCTAGGACTCTCAAGAAGCTTCTACCCTCAGGTTGGCCTTCAAATTCAGCCAAACGCTCCCTTATGTCTAAATGTTTGTTTGGAATTTTAGATTATATTTTAATTATGGATTTAGATATAAATTTGAAAAGAAAAATGGAAAAAAAAATGGAAAAAAAAAATGAACTTATGTTTCATTCATATCTTCTTCATATATATATTTTTTTCCTTTTATAATTTTTTAAATATCTATGTAAATCCAAACACAACACTAAAAGATAGAGAATTGAACTAAACATCTGTGGGCTTACCAAATTCATGTTTGGTTGTGTTAAAATACCACGAGTTTGTTAATCCTATGGGACTAGTAATCTCATTCAAGGGTGGGATTAGCATTGTCATGGTAAGGGTGAGATTGCAAGGTGAAAAAACTATTCTGCCACCTGTTTACAAAAAAGAGCCATGCTTCGGCCCTCCAGTGGAGTCGCACCTCCAGTGACGTGACAGCATGGGATTGGCGAAAAACATAAAAAAAAAAAAAAAAAAAAGTTTTTTTTT